TCTTTTCCTGTCCACCCTTTGCCTCCCTCTGCTTACTTCTTTTTCTATCACTGAGTTATAACCTTCCTGTTACTGCTCCTTCACCAAACCACTAATCCATCCTGAAGGTCCACCTCAAATGCAATCTTCCCCTAAAGTTCACTCTTCCTCTGGGCCTAGGACATAAACCTTGGATTACTTTAACGTGGTCCCCCAGAGCAACCAGCACAGGGCTCGGGAAGGCTCTAAGACCTGATTTCTGAGAATCGTCCTTCTCAACATGTTCCCTCAAGTTCCAAGTGGGGTCCTTTTAATCATTTCTCCCACATCATCTGCCTTGTAAGACATCTCATAAGAAATGCTACCACTAGGGGCTGGCAGAATGGCTCAAGTGGTGGACTACCTGCCTAGCAAGTGTGAGGCCCTGAGTTCAAACCCCACTACCACCCCCCAAAAAAAAAAAAAAAAGAAAAGAAATGCTACCATTAGATACCTGGGCTTAGTTCTCACCTTCTCTGGTGAAGCAAGTCAGCCCACCACATACCAGGTTGATGCAACATAAACATAGAGGATACAGAGAGCCCAATGTTCATCGTGGGTTCAAATCCTAAGTCTAGCTAGGCATGGTGGCACTTTTAAGTAATCCCTGCCTCAGGAGACTGAGGCAGGAAGATGACAAGCTCAAGGGCAGCCTGAACTACATATGGAGACCTTGTTTCAAAAAAAAAAAAAAGAAAGAAAAAAAAGAAGAAACCAGGCACCACTGGTTCATGCCTATAATCCTAGCTACTTAGAGGCTTATATTGGGAGGATCACAGTTCAAGGCCAGCCTGGGCAAATGTGAGGCTTCATCTCCAAAAGAACCAAAGCAGACAGGCTCACACTGTAATCCTAGCTACTTGGGAAGCAGAGGTCAGGAGGACTGAGGTTCAAAGCCAACTTGAGCAAACAGTTCAAAATCCCCTATCTTGAAAATACCAAACACAAAAAAAAGGGCTGGTGGCACCAATGGCTCACGCCTGTAATCCTAGCTACTAAGGAGGCAGAAATCAGGAAGATCATGGTTCAAAGCCAGCCTGGGCAAATAGTTTGCGAGACCCTATCTCAAAAAAACCCTTCAAGATAAAGGGCTGGTGAAGTGGCTCAAATGGTAGAGCACCTGATTAGCAAGCATGAAACCCTGAGTTCAAACGCTAGTATAACCAAAAATACCCTAACTGTCACATGCTGCACACAGAACTGAAACAGAAGGCCTTCAACTGCAACTGATATAGATCCATCACATCACTGACCTAGGGTGCAGGAGAGGCTACAACCAGGAAGTAAAAGTCTGAACACGCTGCTGCGGTACAGTGGCTGGCTCATCCTGTAATCCCAGCAGTTTGGAGGGGGGTTGAGATTACAGTGGAGATTTCAGTTGGAGGCCAGTCCCAGGCAAAACATTAATGAGACTCCATCTCAGCAAAACAAGCCAGTAATGCATGCCTGTCATCTCAGCAACAGGTAGAAGAATCACCTCTGAGATTGGCCCTGGGCAAAAAGTGAGACCCTATTTGAAAATAATTTGAAGCAAAAAGGGCTAGAGGATGGATGGAATTGGAGAACATCATTCTGAGTGAGGTTAGCCTGGCCCAAAAGACCAAAAATTGTATGTTCTCCCTCATATTTGGACATTAGATCAAGGGCAAACACAACAAGGGGACTGGACTTTGAGCACATGATAAAAAACGGGAGCACACAAGGGAGGGGTGAGGATAGGTAAGACACCGAAAAAATTAGCTAACATTTGTTGCCCTTAACACAGAGAAACTAAAGCAGATACCTTAAAAGCAACTAAGGCCAATAGGAAAAGGGGACCAGGAACTAGAGAAAAGGTTAGATCAAAAAGAATTAACCTAGAAAGTAACACACACGCACAGGAAATTAATGTGAGTCAACTCTCTGTATAGCTATCCTTATCTCAACTAGCAAAAACCCTTGTTCCTTCCTATTATGGCTTATACTCTCTCTTCAACAAAATTAGAGATAAGGGCAAAATAGTTTCTGCTGGGTATTGAGGAGGTAGGGGGGAGAGGGAGGGGGTGGAGGGGGTGGTAAGGGAGGGGATGGGGGCAGGAGGGAGAAATGACCCAAGTCTTGTATGCACATATGAATAATAAAACAATAAAAAATAAATAAATCTCTTTTAACTGGGAACAGAAAACTAAGCATCAGCATCAGTTACCCCAGGATACTGTGCTGAAGGAGAAAAGGAGCAAAAAAAAAAAAAAAAGGCTAGAGGTGTGGCTCAAGTGGTAGAGCATTTGGCTAGCAAGTACAAGGCCCTAAGTTCAAACTCTAGTACTCCCAAAAAAAAGGAGGGGAAAGATACTCTCATTTGCTTCAAGGATGAATACATATATACTCCCACAGGTTAAGACACTTTCTAAGCCCAAAAGGAAATACAGGGCTAACTCAAGTGGTACAGTGCCTGCCTAGCAAGGGTGAGGCCCTGAGTTCAAACCCCAGTACCACTCAAAAAGAAGAGTAAATATATACAGTGTCCCAGTTCCAAGGAGGAGGTAAGTTTTGGTTTGTCTGCTTGAACAGAATCTCACCCTGTAACCCAGCCAGGAACTTCAGATCCTTGAGTCTTCTCAGCCTCGGGAGTGCTGGGATTAGCGGCATGAGCCACCCCACCAGTCTAGGAGATATGAATTTAATAATCAAATGACAGGCTTCTCGGGCTGCAGGTGTGGTTTAAGCAGTAGAGTGCCTGTCTAGCAGGCAAAAAATGGGAGTTAAACCCCAGCACTGCCAAAGGATACATCATAAATGCCAGAATTTCCTTACCACCACCTCCAATCTAAGTAGCTCCTGGGGTCCTAAACCCCACCATTTGACACCAAAAAACGTGTGGGCCACCATGTGCAGTAGTCAAGAGATGGTTTTGAGTCATTTTGGGTTTTTTTGGTCCTGGAGGATCAAATTCTGAGATTCACACATGCTAGGCAAATGTTCTATCACTGAACTATATACCTAGTCCCAAAAGAGGTATCTTAAATCCTTGGTCATGCTTAAGACTTCCCAACCACACATTCCAGAATTCCCTCCCCCATCAATACGCTAAACATTCCCTTTGCACTACCTTTTCAGTCTCCCTTCTCAGATGGCTCCTCCTCATCATCACTTCTCTGTTGGCTGACTTTATTGCCAGAGGAACTGACCCTTTTCCCTCCCTATCACTCCCTAAGTGGCCATCAGTAATATCTTTCTAAACACAGGTCTGGATAAAGCCACTGACTGATTAAAAGCATTCCCAGGCTCCTGTACCCTGGCTATGAAGTTGGAACTCCTGAGCACAAGAAAGGCCCAGAGTTCACACCTGTTAAGCTGGAAGATTCCCAGGCACTATTTTAGGCACTCATGTACATGTGGTTCTCTGTGTCGAGGTCTTGATGTCCCCAGCTGATTCCTGCAGGCCCTGAAGGCCATAGCTCAGGAATTCCCTCTCTCTTCAGGCTATCATATAAGCACACTTGTGGGTTTTAACTATTAATCATGGGTTCTCTGATTCCCACTGCCCTCCAAAACGAATTTCTTAAGGGCAGAAACACACCCTTTTACATGGGTCCCCAGGATCTACCACACAATTTGGCAAATAGTGAAGCCAAATACTTGCTAAATGAACACATTTTGCCAAATCAATTTTTTAAAATAGTGAGGCCTTGTCCTCTGCCTCTTTCAAGAGGGGCACATATCAACACAAGGTTTCATGTTCCAGCCAGATGTTTATCTACATAGCACGGTTCACTCCTACCTTTACACAGTACCCCATATATCCTTGAACAGAGGTTCACACTATGCACCTAAATCCCTAATGAAATCTGATTTCTCCAAGAAACAGCCTCTTTTAAGTATGCAGGTCATGAGCTCTTTCTCCTTGGCTTCACAGAAAAAAGTTCAAACTATGGCCTTTAAGAGACGGAGTGGCTCAAAAGGTAGCAAGCAAGCATGAGGCCCTGAGTTCAAACCCATGCCGCCAAAAAAAAGTGTTAAAGGGCTTGGAGGTATGGCTCAAGCACTAGCATGTCTAGCTTCCAAGCACGAAGTCCTGAGTTCAAACTCCAGGACCACAAAAAAAAAAAAAGTGTTAAGGTCGAATTCTGTTTTAGAACAAGAACAATCCAAAATTATGTCTCTGAACACTAAGCATAGCACAACCTGATAAAATTACAGCATCTCATGTACACCAGAGTTCTCAAAACACCTGGAAGCAAATCTAACTCTTATCTGAACTTAGGCCCTAGGAACACCACCCTCACTTCAGGAGTCTGGCTTCCATGCCAGGAACTACTTCTACTAAGCTTATTTAGGGAAACAGCAGGTTGGACTCTTAAGTTAGAACTCTAGGCTATAAAGGCTCTGATCCAGACTCTAGCCAGAGTAGCCAAAACTTCATCACCAAAACTAATTTTGAAATAATCCAATTTACAAACCTAAGTAATAGATTCTCAAGTTATAGAAATTAAAATGCATTTTAAATTTCCAGTTGCGTTTCTAAAATATTAACTTGGAATTTATAGCAAAAGGATTCTGAGTGGAGACATCTCCTCTAGAGACGTTTCCCAAATATACTCGCGAGAGAACCTGGTCTTCTAAATACAAAGTGACAAGGTAGTAAGCAGGCTTCCAAAGAAGCTCAAATGGGGGGGAGGCTGTACCCCCAAGGCTCTGAGAAGACCAGAGGAAGAGACGAGGGCGGCGCCTTTTCCAGCCTCTGACTGGGGCTTGACCCCCCACAGTAGGAATATCACCCAATTGGGCCACGACCCTCAACAGGCACTGGAAGAGAACCACAGGCCGCACACACCCACGGCGAACGCGCAGGCCCCGCGTTCCAGGGAGCGCGGGCCGGGCTAAGGCCTGGCGGCCCATCGCCGCTGCGCGGAGCCCGGGCCTCGCAACCAAAGGCTTCGAGCCTTCGCCGGAGGGACCTAGAACAGAGGGGCGGCTCCGCCCGGGCGGCGCCGCCTCCTCACCCGCAAGGACGTCCGTGGCCGTGTCCCCGCCCCGGGCCGAAAGAGAGCAGCAGCAGGTGTTCCGCGGAAGGCTCGGCCAGCAGCAGCGGGAATAGGGGCCCAAGCAGTCAGGCACAGCGATCGGGGAGGGCGGCACACTCACCAAGCGCCAGCGGGCGGGCCGCGGCAGGTGTGCGCTCCTCCCGGCCCCAGGACGCCGCCACCGCCGCCGCTCCCCCGGGACTCGGCGCGAAGCTGCCGCCACTGCCGCCCCCGAGCCCAAGGAGCGCGAGCGCTGCGCCGCAGCCTCAGCGCGAGCACGTACCGGGCGGTGAGAGGGCGCCGAGCGCGAGGGCGGGGCGCGCGGCCGGAACCTAGCAACCGCCTGACACGCGAATGCCAGAGCCAATCCCGCGGCCAGCTCCTCCAGGCGCCGACTGACCGTCCGCGCGCCGCCCGCTTCTGCCTGCGTCGGCCGCCCCGCAGCGCGCCGCACCCGCGCGAAAGCCCCGCCTCAGCCCGCATCTCTCTGCTCATTGGCCCGCCACGCCTCCGTCTGAAATGTCACTCCCCATCGTGGAAGCCCCGCCCCGAAGGTCTGCCAAGTCTGGCCCGGGACACGCCTTGGCCAGACCGGGTGGCCCAAAGCCATCCGTAGGAGGAATGGGGGGAGGGGCGCTCTGCCCAACCTCAGGACTCTGGGCTTAAAGACTAACCCGGGATTGGTCTGGCCTGCAAATCGATCCTGCCATACAGATCATCCGTCGACTGCGTTCGGCCCTCCTAATTTTCCTCGAACGAAAATTATTTCTAAGCCATGAAAACACTCAGGAAGCGTCCTCTGAATTGTGAAGGAGGAAGACCCCTGCCCTGCCTTTTCACTGATGGAGAAACTAAGGCCAGGGGCTGGAAGCTAGCCCAGGTCCTAGGGACTGGCACACCACAGGCCTAACCCTTGTCCCCTCCCCCTGCCTGGAAAGCTAGAATCCTGTGCCTCCTCCAGCACCCGAAATAGCTCTGACCTGCTAGCACCGGTCATTCACTCCGGGTGGCCCACATTCTTTAGATGGGTGGGGGGTAAGAGGCTGTGGCTACTGCTAAAGTGTGGTCTCCCTTCAACGGGAAGGTCCTAAAGTTCTTCTTGCTCTCTCTGAAGCTTATCTGCGGACCCCAACCCCAAAAGGCCAGGGACTTGACAGTTAAATGAACCTGATAGTGGATGGGTCAGGGAATGGGACCGGGCTCCTTCTCCATCCCCATACCTTGCCCAAGATGGGTCCACTCAATCTTGGGCCTGTGGGGAGGTGGAATTCCAGGCCCCACTCTTGTCAGCAAGCACCTTCTGAACCCAGAACAGACAGCTGCCTTCCTGGCCTTCTTTCCTGAATCCCCTTGCTTTCTCCCCTTCTCAGGAGTGTCTGGGAGAAACAAATTTCAGGAAGACCTCTAAAACATGTACCTGTTTGCAATTCTCTATATTTAAATGAATAAGCTGCAAACCTCATTCTCGAAGAGTAGAAAGAAAGGAACTAAAAACCAGGAAATGGGGCTGGCGAGGTGGCTCAAGTGGTAAAGCACCTGTCTAGCAAACATGAGACCCTGATTTCAAACCCCAATACCAAAAAAAAAAAAAAAAAAACAGGAAATGGCATTCCTTTACTTTGAATCATACTTTAGGTGGTAAAACCAAATAGTTACTAAAGAAAAAAAAAATCAAACCCCAGCACTGCCAAAATTGCCAAAAATCTTCTGTTTTAAAAATGGATTAAGAATGAGTTGGGTGTGGTGGCCCACATACTGGGGAGGCTAATGCACAAGGAATAAGAGTTCCAGGCCAGCTTGGGCTACACAGAGAGAACATCTCTAAATAAATAAATAAGCTAAGAATGCAGAAAGTTATTTGAACTTCTAAGCCAATTTTATTCTCTCATTCACCTCATCTGAGAGTCTAACACCTATCCCCAAACATACAACAGACACTGCTTTGTAGCACTAGGTTCTGCTAGTTCAGTATCTGAAATAGTATACATAGTATACATAGTTATATATGTTTTTCTTTTTTTGTGTGTGTAGTACTGGGATTTGAACTCGGGGCCTTCACCTTGAGCCACTCCACCAGCACTATTTTTTTTGTGATGGGTTTTTTGGAGATAGGGTCTCACAAACTATTTGCTGGGGCTGGCTTTGAACCACGTTCTCTCTGATCTTTGTCTCCTGAGTAGCTAGGATTAAAGGCATGAGCCATCGGCACTTTTTTTTTTTTCATTTTTGAGGCGGATACAGGTCTCAGAGATACCTCCCAGGTACTACCATTTGCAAAACAGCAAGCCACTCACTCATCAGACCTTACTATAACATCCACAGATGCTTTCTTCCTTTTAAGCATTGGTCTTGCTAAATGAGGTGCCAGACCGCATTCTCTATATATATTCTCATCCTCCAGGCCTCCAGCCTTAGCAGGTCCCATTTTTGTCACCTCTCCCCAGGCCAAGAAGCTCTGAGCTTTGGGTCTTACTACTGTCTTTCTTTACTTTTGTCTGGAGTTGGTGTTCTCCAAAAACCCCATGTTTTTTCAGGCCCTATAAGACAAGAAACCTGGCTGACCGAAGCTGAACCAACCTCATGGGTTGTGTTGTGGTCCCTTATGTCAGGTGGGTGCTGTAAGGTTAAGGCCTAGTTACTGCCCTTAGTTCTGAGAGTTAAAAGTCTTCCCCTCCCTAGCAACTCTACAGCCCACCTGAGGCTCAGCACAGGTCCCCAGTGACTCATGGCTGTAACCTCAGCAGGGCCTAGACCATCCCAGATTAGTTAGCAGTAGTATGGCATTCAGCCAATAGGAGGTCATGGCGCCAAGAGTAAAGCCTAGGGCATGTCCAGAAGCAACTGTTCAAGAGACCCAAGTTATATGGGCCCCAAGGAAGACTGGTCAAGAAACAAGATTAAGGCTCTTGAAACCTGACAGTCTGCTCTCAGCTCTACTGAGCCTTCAGCCCTATTTAGTCCCTTCAGACCCTCCACTTAGACTCCCAGTATGAGGCTCCAGGAAGATTGTGTGGTAAGATTTGTCTCCTTCACTGAAATGTGAGCCTTTGATACCAGAAACCAATTTGTTTGGCTCCATATTACAACCATTACTTACTAACTGACTCAGAAGAGGCTCAGTTTCTAGCCAGATGTGGTGGTACATGCCTGTGATCCAAGCACTTGGAAAACATACTGTTACCTAGTCTCAAAAAAGTATACATTTTTCTTTTCAGTACTGGGGTTTGAACTCAGGGCCTACACTTTGAGCCATTCCACCAATCCTTATTTTGTGATGGTTTTTTCAAGATAGGGTCTCACAAACTATTTCCCTGGGGCTTGCTTCAGATTGTGATCCTTCTGATCTCTGCCTCCTGAATAGCTAGGATTACAGGTGTGAACCACAGTCACCCCACAGTATATAATTTTTTTTTTTTTTAAGTAGAAACTTAGTTTCTGTTTGGGAAGGAAAGAATTAAGTTGTTGCCTGCCTTACCTCCTAGGTTGGTAGTCATCCCCAAGGGTCTAAGCCCTATGTAGGGATCAAGTCAAATGTTCCAATGTTTGTTTGATAAGACCTTGTTTCTAGTTTAGACCAAATCCAGTGAACACCTACATGGATCAAACATTCCACTGGTCTTACGATTCCAGAGCTTTTTACTTTGGCATGTTCCCAAAGATCAGTGCCCATATTCAGTCTCTTCCTGAAGGACAGACCGCAGGAGGTCAAGGAGACACTTCTCCTCCCTAGGAAATGCCTGTTTGCATCTGAAAGGCATCTCCGCCATCAAGCAATGCAAAAAGGCTATAAAACCGATTCCTTACCCTGACCCACGGATCACCGGTTTCCGGGTCCCCCTGCATTCCCCAATATGCAGTCTTTCTCTTCTCTCTTCTCCAACTAAATTCTCTACAGATAAAATCTTTCCGACCTCTGCTGTTGGAGTCTGTCTGTGCTTTCATTCTCAGAGCAGGCTCAAGAACCCTGAGCACCTGAAATTCCTGCACATGTCATCTGTGCATCGTTCCCAAGAGAGGGAGGCTTCTGCTGTTGATTCTTCCTCTAGGAGCAGCACAGGGGCCGGTGCTAGCCCAGGGTGGAGACTCATGACCCAAATATCAGGCCTGTAAGTCTCGCCTGAGGCAGTAACTGGCAAGCAGATCTAGCCAAGTCAGAGGGAAGGAAGGGGGGATCCCTTTTGTCTGGATTTAACAGAAGGCAGATTGTCCTGCAGCTCTGGCAGAAAGAAAGGGCTGATAAGTTTATCTGGGAGAAACTGACAGTAGGCGTGTTTTCCAGTTACCACCAAATTTTCCAGAAGCCAATTCTTTCCCTTACAGGGCTCTCCACTCCAGCACTACAATCAGGACGCTTCATACATGCCTGGCACAAGGTTTTCCTTCAATCAGCTGAGCCACAGCACCCACATCTGGCCCTCTAGAATATAAAGTCTGTCCCTATAGGACTCATCCCACAACAAGGGTGAGTATTGGTTGAGTGAATAAAAGACACCTCTTACCTTGGGTGGACACATTTGTCCACTGCCCCTTCCTCAGCAACATTCCACTTCCTACTAACTCTAGGATAAGACATTCCTCCAAGGCCAACTTTGAGTGACTGTTACCAAAATACTGAACCTGTGGCCTTGAGCATTGTACTAAATAGCAGATTAGGTCTAGACTGGCTGAGCAGCCAGTGGAAGCAAGCAAAGTTGAAGGACCTATTTGTTAATTCTCTTTTGTCACTGATCAACTAGCTCCTAAACCCAGCGTCTTAGAGGAAGCTATCTATACTCATCCAGATCATCTGGATTAACATTCCCTTCTCTGTTCTCAATAATGTGTACAAATGTGTCTCAGGGCTCAGCCAGGTGCTTCTCCAAGGCAGAAACCCTTCTTCCTCTCAGAGCAGGCTGAGATCTGGACTTGTTCCTCTCATCAGCTTGGATACCCCTTGAGGAACTCTTAGTCAGAGATCTTGACAGGCTTTAGACAATTAGTGATTCTGACTATGCTATACTGGCTAATGAGTATGTTCTTGGAACACTGGAAAATGTTAAACCCAATACCTTTGCTCTAGGCTGAGTGCTGATAGAGACAGGGAGGTCCTCTGGGAGCCCCATCACCAGTTGGGGAATCCCTAACATTTCTGGGTTGAATAAGAGGAGTCCCTTCAGATATGCAGGGTTTTTTGTTTGTTTAATTTGGTTTTTGTTTTCTAGGATAGGTTCTCTCTATGTTGCCCAGGCTGGTCTTGAATTCCTGAACTGAAGTGACCTACCTGCCTCAGCTTGCCAAGTTCTAAGACTATAGCCATGTACTACCACACCTGGCTCCCTTCAGCCATCTTGAGGTGAGCTAATAAAAGAATGAAGTTGATCTTAGTGATACACATCTGTAATCCCAGCACTTCAGAGGCTGACTCAGGAGGCCAGCCTGGGCTACAC